ATGGATGCTTTCTTCTGGCAATGTGGGTTTTCGGTTTTGGCAGAAGAGTCTCTGGGAAGATACTCGAGGGAGAGTTGAGTGTTTCGTGACCGTGTATGCATTAAAATCCTAGCTTGTTCTGTAGATTCACTATAGCAGCTTTAATTCTCATTGTTTAACAAGTATTAAGTTCACTGTTTATGGAAACATGTTGTGCTTAACATATAAACCCGGTTCAGACCAGCCAGTAGCTCCTGTAGGACAGAAACCTTATGTCTCCAAATGCATCTGTAATTATCTGTATCTTTTGTGTAGAGACACACTCGGGGAGCCCAAAACAACTTTAATGTAACATTTCACATACAGTTCCACAAAATCTGAAACTTTTAAAGCATCTTATTCACAAAACAATCGGTACAGTCGGGTTGTTCCAGTTCTAAGTAGTTTTTATGGACATGCCTGCTCCCTTTTCCTATTCTGGGAAAACGCACAGGTCCACTCAAGTACTGGAGAGGAGGGTCCGATCGATAGTTGAATCTCAGATTGAGGAGGAGCAATGTGGTTTTCGTCCTGGCCGTGGAAAAGTGGACCAGCTCTATACCCTTGCAAGGGTGATGGAGGGGGCATGGGAGTTTGCCCAACCAATCCACATGTGCTTTGTGGATTTGGAGAAGGCTTATGACCGTGTCCCCAGGGGCACCCTGTGGGGGACGCTCCAGGAGTATGGGGTGAGTGGCTTTCTGTTAAGGGCCATCCAGTCTCTTTACCAGAGGAGCGTGAGTCTGGTCCGCATAGCCGGTAGTAAGTCGGACCTGTTCCCGGTGAGGGTTGGACTCCGCCAGGGCTGCCCTTTGTCACCGGTTCTGTTCATCACTTTTATGGACAGAATTTCTAGGCGCAGCCGTGGTGTGGAGTGTGTCGAGTTTGGTGGCAGGAGAATCTCGTCTCTGCTTTTTGCGGATGATGTGGTCCTCCTAGCTTCATCCAGCTCTGACCTTCAGCTCTTGCTGGGTAGGTTCGCGGCCGAGTGTGAAGCGGCCGGGATGAGGATCAGCACCTCCAAATCTGAGACCATGGTTCTCGACCGGAAAAGGGTGGCTTGCCAACTCCGGGTCGGGGGAGAGGTCCTACCTCAAGTGGAGGAGTTTAAGTATCTCGGGGTCTTGTTCATGAGTGAGGGTAGGAGGGATCGGGAGATCGACAGGCGGATTGGTTCGGCGTCTGCAGTGATGCGGACGCTGAGCCGATCTGTCGTGGTGAAGAGGGAGCTGAGCCAGAAAGCCAGGCTCTCGATTTACCGGTCGATCTACGTCCCAATCCTCACCTATGGTCATGAGCTTTGGGTAATGACCGAAAGAACAAGATCGCGGTTACAAGCGGCCAAAATGAGTTTCCTCCGTAGGGTGGCCGGGCTCAGCCTTAGAGATAGGGTGAGGAGCTCGGACATTCGGGAGGGACTCGGAGTAGAACCGCTGCTCCTCCGGATCGAAAGGAGTCAGCTGAGGTGGTTTGGGCTTCTGGTCAGGATGCCTCCTGGACGCCTCCCCGGGGAGGTGTTTCGGGCATGTCCTGCTGGCAGGAGGCCCCCAGGTCGACCCAGGACACGTTGGAGAGGTTACATCTCCAATCTGGTCTGGGAACGCCTTGGAGTCCTGCCGGAGGAGCTGGTGGAGAAGGCCGGGGAGAGGACGGTCTGGAGCTCCCTAGTTGGGATGCTGCCCCCGCGACCCGGACCCGGATAAGCGGAGGAAGACGATGACGTAAAAAGCACATCATGTATTGGGCTGATCGTTTAACCTTGACATCGTGAAAAGCTTCAGCGTTGCTCCCTGAGCCCAGTCCAGCCTTTCTTTGAGACACTTCCTTCACGGATTACAATATTTAATGTTTTCTTCTGCCGGCCTCTGAGTAATAATCATCATCAATTTCCCACCTTAGTTTGTGTTAATTAAAAAAGCTACAGGTCTAATTGCCGTTTAATGTAATGATGTTAGATCTCATGTTCATGTGTTGGGCTTCACCCATCAGCAGCTCGTTGCGGAGGGACTTGCTGGGTTTAATCAGATAGAGAAGGAAGACTTGTTTCTCATTATCTGCTCCGCTTCATCATTTAATCTCACTGAAGCAGCTCTTCACACGTGCAGCTTTAACTTATGAAGAGTCTTCGCTGAAACGAGCAATGATGATGAAGCTCTGCCAGAAGACATTCTGCCAACATAATTATTTATTTACATATTGTTTTATTGTGCTTTCATTTAGAGCCAACACGTGCCTTTCAGTCCATATGACTGGTCTATATTAAATACAACTGTGGCTGTTCCCTTCGGTTTCCTGTAAATAAGAAGAGGTGTAATGTGTAAGTTCATAGCTGGATTTGAGGAGTTTAGTTGCATCAGATCAGAAGAAAAAATGCATTAAGTTGTGATCTTTCATCATTTGAAACTTTGAGAGAGAACTGAATAGTGTGATATGTGTATGGTATGTAAATGTTGTGTGATTAAAAGATACGGTACCATGTTTGTATCGCTGATAATAATGGTAGACCAATAATATCGGACATCCCTATACCTAAACCATATGAAAGTCACTCAGAATAAATGATTACATGCATATACTCAATTGCATGTGAAGATATAAAATTCTTTGGTCGCTCGCATTAGTAAATTATCCAAGTCATGACAGCTATTCAGTTTTACAGTGTAGCAGCTTGTGTTTGTGAGCTTCTTTCTTCGCGTTCCTGGTTGGAGTACTAGCAGAATTCACTCCGCACAGCGAAAAAATCAGATTAAACAATTAGTGTCAATTAGCCCCGACCAAATCATTCAGCAAACAATTGGTCTCCAGTGCCCAGCTTAATTACGGGTGACTTTCAACTCCTTATCAGGAACCACGGCGCCCATGATTCATGTCCGACTCACGCTTGTCCCTCAAGTACCATCAATTACCCACAAGTAAACAAAACACCAGTCACAAAAAGAGAGAGAGCAAGGAAACAGCTTTAGGTCCCGGGCCTGATGAACACACCTCTGTGCGATCTTTGCTGCTGAGCAGCTAGAGGTAACATTTCTATAATGGCCTCAAGACTTTGCATGTGTCGACACGAGGAAGAACTGACTACATGAACCTATTAAACTCATTTGGCTGTTTATATTTAAATGATTGATTTGATTCTTGTTTCTGCAAGATGAGCAGTAACAAAACATGCCACTGTGCAGCTTTGTTAGGCAAAACCAAGGAAGAGCTGGCTCAAACATGACTAAAACACGAGGTCAAAGCCTACGACTAGAACACACACACACACACACACACACACACACACACACACCTATGAACGTGTGAAGGGGAGCGACAGCAGGCGCTATGACATGTTAAATTACCCTGGTGATGTATAGCTTAATGAACCCTTGTGTTGATCACGCTCCACATTAATCAACGGCCATGAACAGATTCCCTTATTTTCTCAATGCAGCCCTGATAAACTGCAATGTCATTTAACCTTGGACTGCAACTTTAATAGCTTCCACAGGACAACTGTCAATACTTGCCTGGGTATACAGTTAAGTGTGCTGCTCATCCTGCCACCCCCCCACCCCCCCACCCCCCACCCACACACACACACACACACTCACACTCACCAATGCCTTTCACTTTAAATCAGTATTTTCACAGATGCCACCTGCAGATGAAACCTTGAGTCATAACATGGTTTTAGTTTTTTTTTTTACTTTGTTAAACATTAATAAACTAAACTGATGGTTCAGATATTTTTGGCTGAACAGCTTAGAAATACCTTCATGGCAAAAGGCCGACGTAGATCACAGCCATCCTAAAACAAACACAACCTCTAAAGTTGTATAATGTTCCATTAAAGGTCATTTTTAAAACCTAAACATCTTCTTCAGTTTCACTTCACATGATTATTTTGGTATAAATATTATTAAAGCTCTGCTGAAATGGGGCCACGCTGCAGCTGCTGAGAGCTGCTGATGCTGCTGGTGCCTGCAAATAACCACATAAATGTGCATAACTGTCCAATGTAAAGCTGACAATGAAGTCAAGATTTAGAAAGTTATATGAACTGGTTGGAAACGTTTGAGTTGGAATTGTTTTTAAAGATGGCAGCATTCCACTTTGTTCAGCCATTAGCTTAGAGTCTGTTAGAACCGTCTACAACAGGTGAATCATCATCATCCTCAGAATCCTTAATGTCCTTTAATTTGAATTTTTAGTTTGCTATCTGCTCTGTAAACATGCATCACTTTCCCTTAAACCAATCCATTACATGGACGGTCACATGCCAGAACCTTTTATAAGCTCCATCAAGCATCCTGTACATAATCATGAGGATTTGACTTGCACAGTCTCCAACGTGTCCATCACATTTAACGGCTATTTCTGTGGTTTGTTGTTGACCGTGAGCTCAGTGGATGGGATAAAACAAGACGGTGACAGCGAGTGACCCGAGGCCTGTCATAATGATTTTCCATGATATCCTCCACCCTTGTCAATTTAGCATAAATTACCAGCCATGAAAGGCCCGCTGGCTGATTAAAACCAATTGTCTGGGTAGGGAAGGACAAGGCAACCTCTTTATTATATGATAAACTAAGTTAATGGAAGAAGACAATCCCCCTTCTGGGAAATCGGAGTGACTCTTAATTAAAGCATTGTGGGGGTTTTCTCTGAAAAATAAAGACAGCCTAGCTGTTGTTTGAACATGAAAATTAAAAGAAAACTTTCAGAAAAAATAAAAATGACGAGTTGAGTCAAGACGAAGAGTTGAGTCAAGAAAGATGCCTTTTTCCTGCGTGAACTCCTTTATGTGCCAATGTAATGAGCACATGTAGACTCCCCCTGAACACCTGATGCTCACCAAATCTGTTAGTCAGACACAAATGTGTGAAACTTCATAATAAAAACAGATTATCACTTGTTTCAAATTCAGTTCAATTCAAATTTGAATTGAATTGAACTGAACTGAACTGAGCGGTGACAGGCGTACACCTGCACTTCCGTTATTATCCAACACAACAAGAATGCCTGCAGGAGGATAATTACTGAAACTTAAAGAGCCACGGCTAATCCTAAGTACTTCACTTTGTATGACTGCCTTGCCCGCTGTCTCTTAGCCCGCCGCTCAGGCTGACAAAGTGCGAGCTCAGTGAAAGTAAATAAGAAGCGCTGGTGGCTGCAGAGGCAGCAGTCAAGCCTAAACACACCGTATGAAACACGGTGATCTTTCACCGCCGGTAAGCCAGCAAGCCACATGGGTCACTCGGTACTGTAAAGACCAGCAGTGATCCCCTCAGCTGGAGCTGGAACTCTCACCAGCAGACACGCTCTGAATCAAACAGATCATTAACAGCCTTCTCCTGACATTTGTTCAAGACAAGACCCATCACACAGCGTCTGTGATTCGTGGGATATTTGGTTATTTAACATGTAATTATCTTAATATAGGCAGAGAAATGATGTCCATCCAAATTACCACTGACAGCATGTAAGCTGTGGGCCGTCAGACGTAAACAGCAGCTAAAGCTGTTAGACGGCTGGTGTGAGACTGGATTTTATGAGGATGTGGTTAAAATTTGACCAGCTTTGTTTTTGGTTACATATCTGCAGCAACAAAAGTGCAGAGGCAGGGAAAAGTTCTCCACCGGCCGTGTCCATGCAGGCTCCCGTCCTGCTGCACAAAGCCTGGGAACAGCTGGCTGATCGATACGGCCAACAAAGGCTCCGAGGTTCGAGCAGTCAGAAGATTGTTAGCTGGCCAATTTATTTGCCAGACATTTATATCATTGTTTACGGTTCAGTGCACCCCTTCAGCCCGGCCGTGCTGCCCACCTGTGCTGGGATCGCTCTCCAAGCCTCTTCTTTGTTGCACGACCTCTGGGGTGGGAGAAAAGAAGGAACATAGATGGAGAGATGAATGAATGAATTTTCACATGAATCTGATTGCACTCCTGTGTTGGTACAGTGTGTGTATGTGGACTGGACTCGCAGCAGCCCAGCCTGCATGCTGCCATGGCTCTGGCTCGGCTTGCGTTCCCCTACCGGCTGGCAGAGACGGGGAGACTTTCTGCGGCTCGCCCGGGCGGAGAGGGGCTTCCTGCACGTCTTTTGTCGCACCATTTGGGCCCTTGTTGTCTGTGGCCGCCCTGCTCCTCCGGACCCACTTGGCAGCCGCTCTGCAGGCGGACATCTGCTCTTTGCAACCTCCTGGTGAACAGAGAAAAAACCCACCACAACCATGAATCTCTATGAGAATCTGGAGACTATAAACATGGGCCTGCATGCTGCACGTTTGATCATTTGTTAAATCTAAAACAGCCCTTTTCTCACTCCTGACCTTTGAGGTCTTCTCCCTTCTGGGGAGCCACAACCTGCAGAAAGGAAAAAGATCCTCGAGAAAGAGTCGCCCTCTGCTTCCTTGAAAGTCTTACATAAAAAACAGGAAGAAGAAGTTTTTCATCATTCATTTGACACCATTCTCCTGGCTTTCCAAGCAGAGAGATTCTGCAGCACGCAATATTGAACCTTTGTTTGTGCTTAGCGGCCCGGACTAACTCGGTCATTATGGTGGCGTAAGAAGGTGACAGGTTTTGAGTTTGATGTCATGATGGTAATGTAGCCCATGTGTGCAGAAGAAGAAAGCCTTCAATGGAGGGGGGGCAGACATCTGTTCAGTGTGGCTTACAGTTACAGGGAGAGGGAACAACCTGTGCACAAGCTGAGATGCAACAGGCAGCATAAAAATAACTTTGTTATTTAGGTAAAATAAATGTGATCTTGTGAGTGCAGATGGATTAGTTTTGCACCTCTGGAGCTCCAGCTCTAGTTTCCTGTCTGGGTGTTATCACAGTGACCTCTGACATCAGTTCTGCTGCTAAGATCTCTCAGTAATTTGTCACCAGAGGGTAACATGTCTCCTGCTGCCGTCTGCATTCCCTACACCTAACAAACCAGCCTGTGCAAAATGAGCATCTCTTCAAACATGAATAATAATAATTCATGAGGAGAAAGAAATAAAACAGCTGTGGTGCTTTTTTATTTATTTGCCCGAGTTATTGTTGTTCTCCGTGTTTTGGTTGGCATGAGGAGGAACCTCTGGGCTGATGTGGAGTTATTCCTACTGAAGTGCCAGTGTAACGTTCCCGTGGCGTTGCGCACAATCGCAGCGGCAGCAGGAGAGGCTGCGTTACTCTGCTGAGCCAAAACGCGGAGGGTCAATCAGTGCGCCGCGGCGCAAGGAGCGCGGTAAGTAGGGTTTTATTCCCCCCGCTACCTCTATCCCTGCTTGGTCTCTCTTTCTTTTTTTATTTATTTCTTCTTTTATTTTACAGCTTGAGCGCGTCTGGTTGGTTTGAGGGAAATAAAGTGCAACTAAATTAGCTCATTGTTAAAATAATTTAAAGTGTTTTCGATATTTATTTGTGTTAATATTCTGAAGGAAAACATTTAATGCCTGCTCAGCTTTTTGTCGCATTGAGTTTGAGAAAAGGCACTCCTGCGTGGCGTCCAATGAAACTTAATTAAAATAAATTACACCTTGTGAATATTAGTTTATTTTCTACTCCTGTATTATTGCGTCAAGGTTAAAACAAATCCCTAAAATAAAAATATAAATAAAAGTAATGAGTGAGAACATCAGCTGACCAATCCTAGAAACACAAGAATTAATCAGATCGTCCATCTATCACGCTGCGCGATAAAGGAAGCGACGTGGGTTAGGCAGATGATGTGATGAATAATCCCTGGTCGATTTAATTAACTTTCCGCTGTCCTGTAATGACCAAGCTGGTCAACAGACCCGGTCAATAAGCATCTTAATATCAAACAAATAAAACTGCGGATGATTAAAAACCTCCCGCGTTATTAAATTTGAAATTCAAATGAAATTTATGCCTCCAGCGCAGACTGCATGCTAATAGCCCCGACAGAGGGAGAGAGACGGTCTCAGGGTTAAACTCCAGGGTTTTATTATTATTATTATTTACATGGTTTAATTATGTAACATGCTGTTTAAAAATGTAAAATAAATAAATAAAACCAGGTGTGATGAAATCATTTAGTTTTATTTTCTGAATTAAATTATTATTATTTTCACACAAATTATTTTTCCTGTCAGGAAAAATCTACTTTTTTATTTTGTCATCTAAAGTCAACTCCGACCTCTCATCTTCATCCACGTGATGTTGTGGACCAAAATAAGCAATAATGAAACGAATCATCCGTTTTAATAAAACCTATCAAGGTAATTGGAGACAATTACGGTGGAGTGAAAGTTGGAGACGGCGCTCTAGAACAATCCAGCCTCTATGGCTCGTGCAGGCTTCCTTACCCCTAAAACAGATCAAAAATCAGCAGGTTGGATCAGAACAAGTTAAGAGATTAGAAAGTTAGAAAAAAGCGGAAGTTTGAACTAAAAAATACTTTTTTACGCACTTTTGTTAAAACTTTGAAATTTAATTTGAACTGAGAATGAACGAGTTTAGAAAATAAAGGAGTTCTGCTAACTCTTTGGGGTGTATATCAGTCCGCACGGGTCACATCACCGCTCCTCCTTCACGTTTATGGAATGTTCGGTACACCCCCCCCCCATTCACTCTCATTTAACTTTACCTTCCTTCCGCTGTCTTTTCTTATGGCGGGGGTGGAGGGGGAGGTGGAGAGCTGTCTGAGCTGCTCTCTATTGATGACCTCACGGTTAGTGGTGCGGCGGTGCGGCGGGACGGGGCCCGCTGATTGGTCGCCCGTGTCACAGCGGCACTTCAAAGCCGGAGACGAGCCTACAATTGTGGAAGAATGGGCGGAACACATCATTGTATTGCACACCTCTAAAAAAAAAAAAGCAGGGCTGCGATTCATAAATATAAAAAGATCCTGCGAGGAGGGCAGTGTTTTGTGTGATGGCAACTTCACTTCTAGGGGTGAGTGTAAAAGGACTTTTCTTACCGGTTTAATTAGTTCTTGTCATTGTTCCTGCGGAAGGGGATTAAACTTCCAGCGGCCAGACTGCAGCGGAGCAGTGTGTCGCTTTAGTTTCAGGAGTTCGCAGCGGAGCTAAAACACGCACGGTGCCTCTGCTGTTGCGTTTGGACTTGCTTTGTTTCTAACTCAGGTATCTGCTGCTGGTTCTCTTTTCTAACGCCTGGAGTTATTTTCTAGACTAGATCAGAGCTGAAATGTTGTGGTAACATGTGTATGATCAACCTGTTGTTACTTTGACCAGACACTTACAGGTTTCTGTGTGCGTGTGTGTGTGTGTGTGTGCGCGCGCGTGTGTGTCTGTTTTCAGGAGGAGCCGAGGTTAGGATCGACTCCTTTAGCCATGTTAGCTGCAACATGCAACAAAATAGGGAGTCCGAGCCCCTCTCCATCTGCTATTTCGGATAATTCTTCTTCGTTTGGAAAAGGTTTCCATCCGTGGAAAAGAGCCGCAGCCAGCAGCTGCAGCCTCGGATCCGGCCTGTCCGGCTTCGGGGTGTCCCGCAACGGATCTGGCATCTCGGACTCTTTTGGCACCAACAACTCCAGCGGATCCAGTGCCTTCTCCCTCACGTCTGGTACCTCGCCCGGTTCTCATTTTGGGAACGACTATTCTGTTTTCCAAGCCTCCGTTTCGAGCAGCTCCCAAGAGTCCAGCCATCAACCGGTCTTCATCTCCAAGGTGCACACCTCCGTGGACAGTTTGCAGGGCATCTATCCCAGGATGAGCGTTGCGCATCCGTATGAGTCCTGGTTCAAATCCTCCCATCCCGGGATCCCCGCGGGAGACGTGGGTTCCTCTGGAGCCTCCGCCTGGTGGGATGTTGGAGCCGGGTGGATTGATGTTCAAAACCCCAACGGAGCAGCACTACAATCGTCCTTACATTCCGGTGGACTGCAGAGCTCTTTACACTCTCCCCTCGGCGGATATAATTCTGATTATTCCAGTTTAAGTCACTCTGCCTTCAGCACGAGCCCCTCTCCACACCTGTTGACATCCGGCCAGCACCTGATGGACGGTTTTAAGCCGGTCTTGCCCTCCTATACGGACACAAGCCCCTCTCCATTAGCCGGAGCGGGGGGGACTATGCTCTCCGGGGCTCCACCTGCAACTTTAGCGGGGTCCCCGAGGTCATCTGCCCGGCGCTACTCCGGCAGAGCCACCTGCGACTGTCCAAACTGCCAGGAGGCGGAGAGACTGGGACCAGCGGGCGCCAGCCTCCGGAGGAAAGGTCTGCACAGCTGTCACATCCCCGGCTGCGGGAAGGTTTACGGTAAGACGTCACATCTGAAGGCGCACTTGAGGTGGCACACCGGCGAGAGGCCGTTTGTGTGCAACTGGCTCTTCTGTGGCAAGAGGTTCACGCGCTCCGACGAGCTCCAGCGACATTTACGCACGCACACCGGCGAGAAGCGCTTCGCTTGTCCGGTGTGCAACAAGAGGTTTATGCGCAGCGACCACCTGAGCAAGCACGTAAAAACTCACAGCGCCGGGGGCTCCGCCGGTTCTGGATCCGGGGGCAGCGGAGGCAAGAGGGGCAGTGACACCGACAGCGAGCATAGCGCACCCGGATCCCCTCCGTGCCATTCCCCCGACCTGTTACACCCACATGAGTCCACCCAGGGGGTGGGCATGAGCGGCCCCTGAAACTTCCCAAAAGTGAAGCTAAAACAAACTGTTGACGGGAGTAACGAAGAGCTGACACTCTCTGGGTTTCATCCCTTTGGGAAGGTGGTTAACCGCATCATTTCATCCACGAGCATCTGCGGCGTGAACGATAAGTCACGTTACTGCGTGGCACGTGAGCATCTTTATGTGTAGAATCAGGTCCTGATTAGTCTTTATTATCCAGTAAAGCGCAAAAGCATCCAAACGAATCCCCGGGGCCTTTACAAGTCGCGCTACTGTTCTGAAACCAAACGCTGGCACTTTAATCAGATCGAGCACGAGGGTTTGTTTCCGTCACTGCTCGGTGGGAACAAATAATCTTTATTATTATGGGATGTGAGGATTGTTCATTTGATCCGTCTGAAGCGGTCTGAGCAGCACGTCTGTGTCACATGTTGCTTTCCACGTTTCCAGAGGCCAGTCGAGGTTCCCTGTTCTTCGTTGCTGTTGTACATAAATGTAGTTTAGAGCGATTCCTGCCCTGATGTAAAGGTGAGCGCGTGTTCGTCCAGGAGACCGTTTTGTATAGCTATTTCTAGTTGTACATGGGCTCTAGTAAATATCTGAGAATTATACGGAAATGTACTTGGAATTTTCTTTCAAATGTATTTGTGGGACTTGTATTTAACCACGAGTTTCCTGGTTGGTTTTCATGTATTTTAGGGGGTCTATATCACATTTAGGCGCACTTTGAATTTATTTGTTGGTTTTGAAATCATTTACTGTTTACCCACTCATTTAATTTAAGTAAGCATGTTGTAACGTGATTTTTAATTTTCCAATGATATCTCTTTTCCCCTCTCTCTCTCCTTCTCGCTGAGAATGGCTTTTTATGTGAGCCACTCAATAAATGAATTCAGAAGCAGCTTCATCGACTCAGTTTTCTTTGATTGTTGAGTCGATAAAATCAAATTTGTGGCCAGAGAGCAGAAATTAGAAAGTAGAATTTTATTATTGAGATTATAGAATAAACGTGTCATAAATTTGATTGTTCAACTGATTAAAAATTAAACTAAAATCAAAGTTTAGAGAAAAAGGATTTAGTTGAACTTTAGAAAATGTTAACACCATCATAAAAAAACGGCTCTTATAAAATGCATAAATAGATATTTTAAAAATGCATGAAGAGATATTTTAAATTAGGGTAAAATCATTTTCCTTTATCTGATAATTATGAACGCGGTAAACTCTGTTGGTCTTTTGTTTCTGAACAATATTGATTTAAATAATAATATCTGAAATCTCCTCTTCTCTCTTTCTTGTAAGATCTGTTTTTCAGCACACACCTGACTTTCTATTCCAGCTGTGGCGCTCTGTGTGCTTTTCCAATCAAAACTGTAAGTTTCAGCATTTACAAATAATAGTTATTTGTAGAAATAATAATAATAGTTTATATTATTACAATGTCTGGTTTAAAACGTTAAAATAATGTGTGTATTCCTATTTCTTTTAAATTATCTGTATTTCAAAGAGACATCCGAAATACTGAAACCAATATAAAAAAACACACAGATGCATCATATTGAGTAAAACCAAAAAGCATTTTTATTCCAGCTTATTTTATCGTTTACAAAAGTTTTGATTGAAATCTGAAGCTTGTCTGATTGTTTCATTTCTAAAACATTCTTGGAAATTTCAGGAGAAAAAGATAAAAGTTTGGTCTAAATAATGTTTTTATTAAAAGTGAAAGTTTTTGTTGTGTCTGTGTTTCAGGAGCTAAAACGTCAGAATAAAAAATACACTTTGACCCCGAGACCGTCCTTTACATTCTTCATGTGAGAAAAAATGGATCTGCACTAATAATTTATGTTTTCCCCCAAACTAAAATAAAAAAAACAAAGTCAAATCCCTCAAACTTCTGTTTGAAACTCCTGCTGTGCAGCGCCACCTAGTGGCTACCCAGTTCCACCAGAAGACAGGTGAAAAGTTTGTGGTTTGAGGTTCAGGAACTGTGCAGCATGTTGACCTTTGACCTGTCAGAGTAAAACCTGCACAAGGAGAAAAGTTTACCTGTCGGTGAAGTTCGTCCAGCATCATTAGCGAGGAGTTCCAGGCATCTTTTCACAATGTTTTATTTGATCTGGAACAGAAACGGTAATGAAGTTAAACGCACCGCGGATTCCAGGAGGCCAGAGAAGTGGACGTTCTATCCCAAAGCTGCTAACTATTTATGTCCATCTGTTACCAATCATGCATTTCTGTTTTAGTTTAGATAACTGGCGCTGATGCATGTGCAGAAAAACCAGGCCTGCACCAGACATCAAGCTCAGGGCACTTCTTTTACATAACGGCTTCTGTCGTAATTTGGTTCTCCTGAACTGGGTTTGCTTAAATTTTAAAGATGAGCAAAATATACAAAATGCAAAAAGGCCAAACCAGGTGAAAGGTTTATCATCTCTGAAATTCAAGAGTTCCGTGTGTTTTTGGCATGCTGCGTCTTTTATTTGATTAATTCTGTTTTTAATCTTCAAACCCAAAGGTGCAAAAAGATAAAACAGCTTTAAACAAAAATTCTACTTCTAATTTATTAAACACATAAAGTTCAGACTGACGTTAAAGCAGGTGACCATGAGTGATGCAACTGAATCTGAAGACTCGGTTCATTAATAAGACCCATGTACAGCTCCATGTTGTCATTTGATCAACCCCCCAGACTGCTATCGTGCCACTTGGTGCTCAGAGGAGCCGCGGTCCCGCCGCCGCAGGCCTCGTTTACATGAAGCTGGCCTCAGGAAGCCCTCACAAAGCAGGGAGACGAGGGGAAGCAGCCGATGTGGACGAAGCACTCAACAAAATAAGTCCAGCTTTGATGCAGCCTCAGAACAGGAACATTCCCGAGCCAAGCTGGAAGGAGGGGTGGATTTGTGAGTTTGAGGTTGTTTAATAAAACCACAACCTAAAACACGGACATGGATTTTGTGAGGGTTTCATCCCAATGTCAGCTCACAGCGGTGTGTTTTCAGCTGACGACTAGATCACAGAACTGTTGCAACACCTCACACTGATGATGCGTCTGTGGTCAGAAGCCACACTGCTGCTGTCATCAATCCACCCGTCCCCTGGGAGAGCAACGTGGACTCGGTCCAGAGCTGGGTCCAAATAATCAACCATGATTTCTGTGAGCCTCACAGGGTGTCACCACTCATGATCACAGGTTGGTTCAGTCAGACAATGATCTACTGACTTCACCTCTTTGGTCTTAGTTAGGCTTTTAACCCTTTGATGCTCTGATCAACAATTATTGAACTTCAGCAGAAAAAAATGCAATAATCTGTTATTATTATTATTATTATTGTTATTATTATTATTATTGTTATTGTTGTTGTTGTTATTATTGTTATTATAAAACTGTCCCAACTTATTTTTAAAGAGTCAAACAATAAAAGAGTTCACAGCGTAAGAATGAGTGAACGACTGTCGAGTTGTAGCGAGCCTTGGGGGGTTGTAGACCCTAGAAGATGCTTAATTAATACAGGCCATGTTTTTGGTGTGGACAAAGTCCAAAAAAAGTTGAATACATAAAATTCAATATTGATCAAATAAAAGACAAGTTTACAATTCTAAGTGAGGACATAATAATTCAATCAGTCAAATAGGTGAATATACCCTTTATTAAAACAGAAGAAGCACATAAATTTAACAAAGTTGTATAAAAATAACCCAAACGAACAACCAGTTATATTCCCTGAATCCCATGTTTGATGACTTTTGTGGTGAGATGACAGTAAAGATGGCGTTCTGGTGCAGAGTTTGGTTTAAAGAGATAAACAGATTGGTAATGATTATTACGTCATCAATGAAGACGGCGAGTTTAACCAGCTTATGAAACGATCATCAGAATCATGGCTGTGGTCTCCCAACCGGAGTAGGAAAACAAAGCAGAAAGGGAAACCCTCTGAAATAATGAACCGTTGATTTTCTTCAAATCAGACTCCAGGAGGCAACTGGTGCAAGACCTCGTGAGTAACAACGAAATGGCGCCCTCGTGTGGTAGCGTAGGGCAAAGGACGCTGTCCTCTTCTGAGATCGTTTTTATTAAAGCACACTTTCAACAATAATTAATTAATTACGTTTGTGTTTGTTATGAAATACTTTAGATATTCTGTGAAACTTTGAAAAACTTAAATAATAAATTCTAGGTCAAAACATTTTGAGATTCACTTTCCCTCCCTAGCTCAGCACAAAAATAAATCATTCAAATAGATTTAATAGATAGTGTTTTTATCTTTTGAAGTTTCTAAATTTCTCTCATAACGTCAAATGATGTGATAAAATGTGCATCATATGAATCAAATGCAAAACCTTTCATTTAACATATTTGGAGGCCTATCTCAAACCGATGCAAATGGAAAACTTGGCAAATGCTGGTTTATTATTCATTTGGGTAAAAATGGGCCTATTGGCCTAAAATCTAGATCACCATGTTTTTTCTTCTTCTTTTTATTTATGTGAAAATTAATGGTTTTTACTTTCTCACGTATTAATGTCAACAGAACAAACCCTTCTAAAACACACAGAATGCCATTTAAAGAACATTTAATGATCTAAATGTATTTTTAAAAATATGAAACCTTTTAAGTAGTTTTATGTTGGGTTATGATTCATTCTTCAAACAAAGCAACACAAAAATCCTCATTAAATGCACAGTCGCAGTTGGCTTAAATTGATAATGGGGGGGGGGGGGGGGGGGTTGCTGGTGCCTATCTCCAGCAGTCAATGGGCAATCAGGCGGGGTACCCCCTGGACAGAGAGCCAATCCTTCGTAGTTATCAACCATACATTACAGTGAATTACTATGTTTCAGTATTTATTAGCATAACACATCCAAGACCAATCTTTTTCTAACCAGGGCACAGCGATCACTGTCATCATAGGTGATGAAATATACATTTTTCCCTGTATCTCCTGTAATGTGCTCACGGACCACCAGAGGTACCCCAGGTCGGGAATCGCTGCTCTACAGGATAAACAAACTCTCAGCAACAACAGGACTGTGTGAAGTCAGACGTGGACACAAAGTGTGTCCTGTTGAATGAAACTAAACAAACATTGTTGGTGGGGCGGAGGTGGTGGTGGGGGCTCTGGTTTTCATTTACTTTGAAATAATTAACAGAGTATGAGTAAAACATAGTTATATCACTGCTTTGGTGGAAAGTGAAAGGATTTCAGAACATAAAAACATCTAATTGTTTAGAACATGAGTGTAATTCTTCTTCATCAGGCAGTATCCACTCATGATGACCCAACACTGGAGGAGTGCTCAAGCAGATCCCAGGAAAAGCATCAGACATCTCAGTCCCCAGAAGTGCAGTTCTAGCAACAGCGACTGCAGAACCCTCAAGCTCCAGGCCTCAGGCAGGGGACCCGAGCTTGGGAGGATGAGACCACCCGCGGAGGGTGAGATGGGAGTTTTTATAAATAAATTCCCATCTCACCCTCTGTGGGTGGTCTCATCCTTCCAAGCTCTCAACCCCCCAAGGCACAATGCAATCAGTCATTCACCCATTCACACACATTTGAGGGGTTTGAGTGCCCCAGAGACTCCAGTCACCACCTAAGGCTGTTTGCCCCTGGGTTCTGGGTCCAGACTTAGGGTGATTCATTCATTGGCATAGCGGCCTAAACAGAATCAAATGGTCCTCTTCCAGCTTCTTGTCCTCCATCAGCTTCTCCCATGGGTCTATTCCTGGCCTGCATGGAGAGCTAGTCCCTTCATTGTGTCCTGGGCCAATGGGACTATCCTGCCTGCAGGACACGAAGGCCCCTGGATCGACTGGTGGAGAGAGCTGGCAAAAGGGCGGTTTGGACCTCTCTGCTGGAACTGTGACCCGAAGATCAGTGGATGAAAATGGACATCTAAGAAAAT